CCTACTCTGTCTTCAACAGCACGTGGAGTATCAAGATGAGTGCTACCGCGACGGCAAAAACCCGTATGTGCCCACCCCCCCTGTCAGACATTAAGCTAGCTGACCCCCTGCAGCGTTGATGCTGACCCAACACACCTACTTTAACCTCGACGCCTACAAAAATCCTGCCACGCCTCTCATCTGGGATCATACTCTGTCACTGCCGTTCTCAAAACGATACCTTGCCATTGACTCGTCTGCGCTGCCCACGGGGAAAATCCTAGAGGCGGCGCCAGGGAGCATCAACGACTTCCATTCCAAGCCGAATCTGGCACTTGGTCACTCGAGGAGTGCATCTGGATTCAGAGGGAATTGCGGAGGAAGTTGTGAAGGGTATAATGGCTTTTGGCTCATCGAGGGAGCTCCGAAAGGGGATGTTGTATTGACGTTGGGGAGTGCATGGTCAGGGGTAAAGGCGGAGATGAGAACAGATCAGGTGGGAGTCGTGCTGTAGTACGTGCCATTTTTGTTGCCATTCCCACTGAAATTAGGACAGGGCTTGTTCAGGATCGGAAAAGCTAACAACATGTTTGTCAGTACGTGTGCCTGGTCCGATGGATCGGCAAATTTGAAGAAGACGCAGGGAACGGGGAGCAGAAAGAAGGTGGAGAAGAGTTCGTGCATTGCGATTGAGGCGCAGGACTATGTTGATGGGATCAACAGACCGGAATGGGGGAGGGTTGACGCCCAGATCACAGGGCCGGGCGAAGTCTATTCGTGGGAGACCTCTTGGACGTTTGGCCTGATGTGAGGGACTTCTATTCCTGGGGAACACGCATCGGTGCACTGGCATCTTGACCTGGACAGTGAAGTGCCTCATGTTGTGTGTGGGGATAAAGATACTGTACGAGGTAAAACTAACATTAGAACGAACGTCTTGGTTTGGCGTGCTCCAAGCCTTCGCTCAATGCCATAGTGGGCTTCTCCTCCGTCATACCGGCCTTGGTTATTGAAACCCACCCTCTCCTCAAGCTGGGGTGCTTAGTGGTGTTACATCCGGAAATGGAACAGGCAGAAATTCGCCGCAGACGGACACGGCCAAGGGTGGTCACGTGACCTTCACGTGGTGGATGTCCTGACATCCAAGCTGTCTACTTCTGGGTTGTGAATGCATTGCATCGCAAAGTGAGTTCGGTTGAAGGAGATCCAATCACGCATTTACAAACCCGGATAGCGTAGTCGACGACACACACCGGGAAACCTCTGTCTTACATCAACGGTTGGGAGTTGGGCGCTAGCTTGGTGATCCTGACGAGATGGGGCGAACACAATGCTAAGGCGAGATAGGGGGACGGGGATGTTGGCCAGAACGCATGGCAACATCCAAGGCCCATGGACATGCGGTCGGTATTGGGTAAGATATGAGTAATAGGAACTCAATAAACACTCGAGGACAAACATCTTCTTATATTAGAACCGTACCGGGAGCCGACTTGGCTGTCTCTGTTTCCTGGTAGGTGGTGACCATGTTGCATGCGGTGGACTCTAAGCGAGCTTTTTGGGCGGGGTGCAGTGTTCCGGCTCCCGAAAGCACAGCCAAGCGACGAATGAAGCAACAACAGCAGATCGGATGCCATCCGATGCCAAAGCAGACAAGCTCGGCAGGATTTTCGGTGGCGCGTGCCAATGGAGATTGCCAAAAGAGTAGTGCATGAGCGATGCAAGAGCGATCGTACCAGGTTTTGAAGTGTGGTGCGACGCGGAAGAAGTCGATGCGAAACAAGAGATGCTCAGACGGGGGCGTCAACAGCCATGCTCCCATGGCGGTCCGAGCGAAGGCCAATCACGCCAAGACCCTCGCTCCCCCAACCCAAAACCCACCCGATGTCTCTTATAACGAGACCCGTGTCGCCTTTCCCCAGTCTTGGCAGCACGGACTGCGTAGTCATCACCTCAAATCGAGTTTGGATGACAGCGGTTCATTTCCTGGGAGGTTGAGGCGCAGCACCTCGAGGTGACGACGATGACGACGACGAAGACGACCATGAGTTCAACCATTGCGAGTCCTAGCGCCAGCGATGCGACGGCAGCAGCAACCAGCACCAGCAGCGCCGCAACCCCGTCGTCCACGGCGACAGGCTCGTCAGCGACGGACCTCGAAGACTACAGCCTGCCGCTTAACGTGACCATCTGGTTTCTGTCCGGCATCGCCACCCTTTTCCTCACCCTCCGCCTCTACGCAAAAATATGGAGGAAGCGACCATTATGGTGGGACGACTACGTGCTCATCGCCGGCTGGTTATCTCTCATTCTCTCCTGCGCTTTCCTCACCGTCTGCACGCACTTTGATCTCGGCAAGCACGGCGAAAAGATCAAGCCCAAGAACCTCTCCCCGCTTCTCAAGTACTCGTACTTCGCCGGCTTCTTTTCCATTCTGGCCGCCGTCTGGAGCAAGTCCTCATTCGCCATCACCCTCCTCGGCTTTTCTCAGGGCCGCACCCGAAAGGTTATTTGGTTTATTTTGATCTCGATCAATATTGTCATGGGCGGGAACGCCCTGCTGCAGTGGATCCAGTGCTGGCCGGTCCCGAAGTTGTGGCTGGGCGGGGAGGGAGTGTGCTGGCTGAAGTTTCCGAAAGCGCGCGCCATCAACACGGTTGTGGCCGTGTACTCGGGGACCGCTGATATCGTCCTCGCTCTGCTGCCGTGGAAGATTATCTGGAATGCGAAGATTCGGAGGAGCGAGAAACTGGGCGCCTTGTTTGCCATGAGCATGGGCGTGTTCGCGGGAGCGGCAAGCTTTTCCAAGATTCTGACATTGGTGGCCATTGGGAATGCAGATATGAGTGAGTCTTGTGAACAAGGGTCCGTCCATTGAGAAGGTTGTTGCTAACACGGACTAGTCACCCTGGTCAGTCTCTACATCGTCGCGACGGCCGAGGGCGCCATTACCATAATGGCGGCCTCCATTCCGATCCTGCGAGCCCTCTTTCATCAGAAAAGCGGGCCTACCACGCCGTCCGTCCCTTCGAGCTTCAAGATTACCGTCGACAACAGTCCGAGAAACAGCCGGGTCTGACGGTGACCCAGGGGCAACACATAATGTTCTGGAAACGATGATACCACGATCCTGCCGCAGGCAGGCAGGCAGGAAGACACGGAGAATTTTGTAGGATACTTGTACATATCACAGCATGAGCATGGGAACTGGGCACAAGCATATGAGTTCGGGTGTCCGGTTGGCATACTACGGGATGGTATTAGGCCTGTGCATTTACGATGGAGTTACTAGGGAGTGGCTTTTGGACATTCATAGCTGTCAATGCTGCTTCAGGGCATATCTGCTGGCTCATGCATCACCAGTGCAGGCAATTTGAGGCACACTCTTGACGTTCAAGTGTTTCTACGTGTCATCCCTCGCTCGTTGAAAGTGAAAGGTGCCCGACATCACAAGTATCCAGCTCTCGATGCTTCGAGCTTGCCGCAGGCACCAAGCCGTCAGTTGGGAAAGCGGACACCATTTCCGACTTGAGTCATTGCCAGAAAAGACCCACTCAGAACTTTCTTTCAATTTTCGCCAGTTCGTCAAGTCTTAAACGTCAACCATCCAGCACCTGGAGTGCCGCAACCAACAAGTCTCCTTCAAAAATAAGAATTCCACCCAAACCACCACAACAAAAGGCGAGATGGCCGAGCGGTCTAAGGCGCTACGTTAAGGAATTCCTTAATAACATCCTCTTCTCCCCCGAAGAACGATTCCGTAGTCCGAAAGGGCGTGGGTTCGAATCCCACTCTCGTCAAACCTTCGTTTTTGCTAGCTACACATTCTGCAAATGTCGCCCTTTGCCTCAGTTATACTGTTTCGCCCTTGAAATACAAACACTTCCCAACAGCGCTGCAAGAAGACACCACGGGTGAACCCGAATCACCACTTCCACAAATTGCATCCCCAAAGCTTGTCCCATAATCACCCCAAACACTGACATCCCTCCCAACAGCGCATTCTGGTACGGCAATCCCCGATGCAGCTGATGATACATCGCCAACGACAACCCCGTGAGAAGGATCCCAACCGCTCCTTCTATCTTATTCCCAAAGCCGTACGCCGTGAAGAACGCAGCGCCCGCAGTCGCTCCGACCAGAGAAAGATCGTTTGCCGTCCCGCGTACAGTCCACTTGACGAGGAGAGTCATGGTGGGCACACCATCGTATGTCGGTTCAAAGTACCTCGCTGCTGTGATGGTCCTCGCACTGAAAGCGAGAGATTGTTGTCAGTTCCTCAGTTCCAAAAAGGGGCTATCATCATGAACGGACAGACGCACTGATCTTCCATCAACCCCCTACAAGCCGCCACCTCCTGCACCGGCGTCAGAAGACCATTCTCAAACCCTTCCCACGGTGCCCCTTGAATATGGACTTCGAGGCGCTCGAGCATCTGCCTCGTATGGTCAAGATCGGGATTGAGTCTCTGCCAGTCTGCGGGACCGATTTGCCCCAGGATCTTGGCTTCGACTTTCCGGACGGCGACCCGGAGACCGATGAGCTCGGCTTGAAGTTCTTTGGTGTCGGGCCCCCCTGGTTCGTCATTGGCCACCGCGCGTAGCTCCAGTATGCGCAGTATCATAGCAATGAGGCCTATATGCCAGGAGGTGGGCGGTGCGTGTTGCATGTTCACTTCTGTGTCCTTTCTTTCCGCGGTGTGAATATGGTTGATGTTGTCTTTAGCTGATGTCTAAGAGCGGTGACCAAAAATTTGTGGCTCAGGTTCACTGCTGCTGCCTGCATGTCTGCCTGATCACTCAAACCAATGCTCGCGGATTGGACAGGGGCAACCCTAACCCCAAGGAACATATATCCTGACCTTCCCTAGAGTCCGCCTGGGGGAAATCGTGGTCAGTAAAAATGTTTAAACTGCTCCTTGTTACAGACAAGGGTGAGTTGTTATTTGCAAGGGTCGAGCTCTGCCATCCCCAAGCCGTGTTGTAGAAGAGGTTGTCTCCCTTCACCCCAACATCCCTGCTTGACCCTGACCCGATTTGAGCGGATACCCTTTCGATCTGGAGTCGAACGCGCTACCAATTGCGCCGCAAGGCCTGGTGTTGACTTCGATGAAGAAAAGGGGCTGAATTTCGTGTTTTCTGGGATTGTCGAACGGTCTTGACCAGCGGCTTGAGAATGGTGTCGGAGGGCATCAGTGTCAATCAGATAACTTGGTTTTTTCTACCCTTCCACTCTTGCTTGAATGCCACCCCATGAACCAGTCATGTTGTCAAGTCACAAACCCAGAAAGCCATCTCGCCATCATCAACCTCCCCTTCACAATCCCACGTATCTCACCCCCTCTCTTACATCCGCCAACCTCCGCCCCGCCGTTCCTGCCGTTCTAACCTGCTCCTCAACGCCACTCCCCGTAGTATAGACCCCCTTATCCCCCCAAAAGATCCTTTCATGCGCCCAATCATCCACGCACTCCCCTAACACCATCACATCCCCATACGTCACTGGCTGCGTCCCTCTCGGCCGCCTTCTTACCACCCACTCCACAAACCCAGACAGGCCCAGGAACATTCCCGCCACAACAACCATCGGTATCGTCGCAAAGTAAATATTCCTATTACACGAAATCCCAAACCCAAACAGCCACGGTACCACTGCCCTGCTCAGAAACACCACCCAAGTCTCCCAGCTTCGTAGGCCCTGAAGTATCAGACTCCCATCAGGGTTCACCCCTACTGTACTAGCCCTCCTCCAGATTTTCTCATCCCTCTGCATTTGTATCAGGGCTCCCGCAACATGTAATCCCAGCATGGGCAGAGCCAAAACAGCACACTGAATCAGGAGCCCGATGTACTCGCCGCGAGAGTCATAGGGGTTCTCGTTGTACATGGACTCGACTATGCCGAAGAACTGGAAGGTGTACCAGGGGTCGGAACGTCCTGTGTAGCGCTCGACAAAGGTGAGAGAGGTTGTGGCGCCCATGGCCGAGCGGACGGCGTCGGGGCGGGAGGCGCGGATGGGGATGGGGAGGGTAAGGAGAGCAAGGAGGATGGAGGTAGCCCAGAGGATGTTGGTTTGGGTGCGAGTGGGAGGGCAGGCGGACAGGGCCGAGGGTTGGGTTGAGACTGGGAAGGAGGTTTTTTTTGGGTTGTTGGGGGGAGAGGGGGGATGGTTGCTTCGGAATGCGGAGGAAGGGAGGAGCTCGATGTCGGACTCGAGGTGAGAGCGGGGGAGGGATAAGCGGGAGGTGGACTGAAGAGGGTCGCGGATCGTGTCCTGCAGAACTCTGCAGGCCCTGGCGGTGGCGAGGGGATTCCCATTCCAGGTACCGACATATGCAGAGTCGAGGAGGGCCCACGTCGAGATGATGGACTGGAGAAGCAGGCCTGCGCCGAGCCCAACAAGACCCCAGCCGTTGAAGTCAATACCGTTGCGGTCCTCGATGCCATCAAGGTTGTAGTCGATTTGCAGCTCGTCTTGAACAATTTGCATGGTGGCGGTGACTGATACCGGGAACGTCAACACGGAGGCCCCGCCGTATGCTAGTACCAAGCCGACGATAGCAACGACATTGGCAGGCCATTTGTTGGGGCCGTTTCTTTTGGAACTGGTGAAAAGGCGTAAATTGCTGTTGTAGCGGAGCCGTCCCTCTTGCCAAAGCGCCCAGCGCAGAGTGGTGGAATGGATGGAGTTGAGGCATCCGGAGATGATGGTGATGAGTATTTGAAATAGCAGAGGCAATACCACCATGGTGAACTCGTTGACTTTGAGCACACGGTGGCCACCGAGGTACTCGCCGACTCTGGGCCATGCGCAGGGTGTAGGTCCAACCATGACAATCTTTCCGACGAGATATTCAGGGACTTTGGTGGTTGGAGAAGCAAGGATGAAGATTCCGCCGGAGAGCGCGGCAATGGAAGCGACCCAGGCGAGTACCAGTCCAACAATGGAGAGATTTCGTGTCGAAAGGTCTCTGTTGAGCTTCACGGGCGGGTTTGAGGATGTGACGATGGTGTTTGGGGTGGTTTTGACTTCGTTGTCGACTCTTCCCGGGCTATAATCCCACCGGCCATTTTCCTCTGGAATGGTTCCCGAGATCGTAGCAGAGGATACACTGCAGGAGTAATGATGAGTCTGGCCATCCCAAGGCCAGCTGGCAGCCAGCTGGCTCGAGCTTGCCTCTGTCGCCATGGGTTGTTGGCCTTTGGGGAGTGAAAAGGGGGATAGTTGTGACCGATCGAACCAGCAATTTTCCTTGTCATGTTCAGAGAAAAGAGTGCCTGCGAGTTGCGCTGATGAAGAAATGAAGCTCAGCTAATTCAATTGACATGTGATTGATGTCGACAAGGCGTCCTCGAGAATTTGACGCATCGATCAGGGGCAAAGCCAAAATAGTATCGTCGCGCGTCAGTGGGCGAACAGTAATGACTTACCAGCCAGAGAGGTTTTCGCCGCGGCCATGTGAACCGTTGCTTACGAGTCAAGGACTGTCGGAGAGGGTGTGTGGGCAGCTCACCGATAGCGAATCAGGGGCTCAATGAGAAAGTGGAACCTCCGATTCCCTGGTTCGACTGTTCCAGTTGTCATGGTGGCGTCGAACAGGAGCTCCTTGCCGCCAAGGCGTCTCTCAGGCTCCCGTCAGGCTGTGATTCAGTGTGCACTCATTGGCTGGCAATCGCCGTCGAAAGCTGTCCTCCTTCGGCAGTTGCTAAAGACGCAGCAGCGTGCAGGGGGCGCAGCAGGACGCCCAGCTGTTTGGTGACGACGTCCAGCAAATCAGGAGCTGAATGTCGACGAATGAAATGCAGAAGGTTCGGACTCACCGGATGACTGCCGAAATTGTCACTGAAGCTTTTCGGTGAGCAAAGTCCTGCAGACGACATCAAACATGAAGTGAAAGGGGTCAAGTCAGGCTCTCAGGAAGTCGTAGGGTTGTCAAGATGGTGAGAAGGTGGTGTGTAAATTTGAAGATAAAAGGCACCAGGGCCAGACGCAGGTAAAGTTTGGGTTCAACTCCTGGCAAGCAAGTATTCGGGCGCATTTGCAACACCAACTCCCAGACTCATAACAACCGAACTCAACTCAAGGACTCACTTTTCTTCTCCCACAATGCTTGCTGGACCGCTCATCCTCCTGCAACTCCTCGCAGCTGCATCCGCTCTCGCATCCACCTCCCCGCTTGACGAGAAGGCTCCCGATGTAGAGGCATCCAGCAACCAGCTGCCACCCTTCACCATCATCGAATGTCCTGAGTCCTGCCCCTGCTGCGACTGGTGCGTGCCCCTCGCCAAATGTCGCAGAAACTTCCTCCCACCCAAGGCCACGTACAACAGCGTCCGCAACATCATCGGCTGCGACTCCCTTCCTGAGGAAACCCCCGTGTGCCCCATCGGCAAGTGCGACCCCAAGTGTCTCTGCCGGGAGACCCTCCTGGATCAACTCGAAACCACTCTCCTCGGCGCAGGCGGAGGTGGATTCTCCGACCAATCCCACTCGGACGACATCCCGACCTCAGAGGACGCCCCCACCGACGAAGACCCCAACTTCCCTTCCCTCCCCATCAAACCCATCCTCGAGCGCGGATCGCAACGCCTTGTTCCCAAACTGCCCCCTTGGTACGGCGTGAAGCCCCTCTGCATCAAGGATTGCCCCTGCTGCAACTATTGCGTGCCAATCGAACATGGACCACACTGCGCCCCTTACAGGGCGAATTGGCTCCACGAGCCATATCCCGCTGCTCGCAAAGCGGTCGGGTGTGATGTGCTTCCTGCTACGACGCCTCTGTGCGCCCCGGGTCAGTGCAAGGGAGATTGCGTGTGCAGGGAGAGTTTGTTTGCGAGATTGAAGAGGGCCTTGTTCGAGGAGGGGGATGTTGATGAGTGAGTCGCGATGATGATTTTGATGATTTGTGTTGTTGCTAATACGGAAAGCGCAGGACGGACAAATCTCGAGTTGAACATGAGGAGCTGTAATCAACAGCCTCTCTTCCCTTTGAGATGGGCGCTAAAGTCTCACCCGGGATACAATTCTGGTCAGGAACCGGAAGGAAGGAGGATTATGGGAAGCAAAGTACCGGTTTTGAATCGGAAGAGACAGTGGGAGGCCATTTCTTTTGTCGATGGTGTTGTTAGATTTGCCACAGATGCTCTGGGAAGCGTGTCGGCGGTTGGGGGAAAACAGTACCATGAAAAACAACGCCGGGGTAGAAACAATGCAGTCGTTGATGAACCAATGCTCCAAAGTCAATTGCCTGTGACGTGCACAAAGTGTTTTCGTCTCAATGTTTCGTCAACTGGCAGTCTCTACGGTTGACGCGGTCTCCCCCTGTGCATCTCGACATCTGACTTCCAGGTTGTCTCTCGGTGAGGGTGTGGCGCTCGGTCCACCAATCAATGATCAACCCTCTTTGTGCAACGTTGGGCCTGACGCGAGGGTCTTAGGCATCCGCCAATCGCGAAGCCCAGCACAAGAACCGAGCTGGGATCGGCAGATGCGCGTCGTGGCAGTGCACGCAACCGCGTTTCTCGGCTGTTCCCGAAATAGCACAGCCCCGTTCCCCTCTCTCTTCCATGGAGATTCTTCAAGAGAGTAAAACGCCACCCAGCATTCTCAAAACAGCTACAGCAACTCTTCAGCTCAGAAACCTAGAACTCTCCAGGTCACCGCCAAAATGCCTGGCATATTCGGTGACGGGTTCTCCGCGGAGACGACGGGCTGGCAGTCGGACCCCACCCACCGTGGAACCTACAACATCCTTTCGACCTGTTTTGTCACCCTCGGCTTATGCATATGGACGGCAATACATCTCAACATCCCTGAGTACCGCGGGTCATGGCGACGGCAAGTTTGGCGCAAGATTGGCTGGATGGTGCTGGGGTTCATCGGCCCGGAGCTGGTTGCATTTACAGCTTTTCAGCAGTACAGGGCAGCCAGAAGCTTGAACGATAAGATGAGATATCATTTTCCCATCGGCCCCAACGCAAAAGCCGCGAAATCTCAACGGGGTCCCTGGTGGCGACGTTCTGGCGAGGCGGCGGAGCCGAGTCAAAAGCCTGAGGAGGAGGCTGATGTTGAGGAAACCCCTGACAACCCAGCGC